AAATTTCTTTGATATTTATGTTGTGTATGATCTTTGTGTCAAATAGTTGCTCCATTGGTAATTGTATGAGGTCGAACTAACGTTTGTTTCATTTTATAAATTGTTTATAAACATTGACGTCATTTTTTATCCGCACATTTGGAGAGATTTATACCACTCATTTGTTTCTATTTATAATTCAAACGGTTGATACACACATTCCTAGTGTTCTAAAAAACGTAATGCGTGACGATGTGCGGAGATCAAGCTACGGGTTAGGTGAGCTTAGACGAGGCATAGGCGTAAGAAGACTTTTTTAATTTTAATATTATTTTAATTTTTAATCAATCAAAAAATCATTTAATAATTAAAAGTAACGCATACCAAACATCTAAAATAAATTTATAGGAATTTTATCCATTTTTTTGGAAGTTTACAACAAAATGATAAGTTCAAAATGTAAATACTAAATGGTAAATAGATAGGAGTTTTTGGGGGGTTTTCTTTTGTTCAAAGCTTCACGTAATTATTCTGAATTTAAGGTAGAAGAAATAAAAAAATCAGCCTTTAAATTTAACTTAAAAGAATTAACTAGGAAAAAAAAGGGCTAAAAATGCTTGCCTATGCACGCATTAGGGGTCAACGTAAATAAGGCACGTCTAGTGGCTTGGTGTTTATGCCACACTCTTAGAACGATGCACATTCCAAACATTTTTTTTTTTTTTTTTTTTTTTTTTTTTTAAGCTATTGTTTGGGAGCAGACTCGAATGGGGCTTTTTTTTAAAAATTACGTGCCTCTTAATCTAAGAGCATCTTCAAAATATTCTTTAAATATAAAATGCTCTTTATTTTAAAGAGTCAACCTCTAAAATCATGCTCTAAGACTCTTTAAATTAACTTTCTGGATATCTCTCAATGTGTCGACTATTCACAAAACATGAGAAGCATATGATTAATCATCTGCTAGTGAGAATTCTCAATCTCTCTCAATATCTCTTTGAATTCAAAAATTCAGGATTGACAGTGAGGAATCCAAGAATTACAGATTAATCTAGTTTTTAATTTAGATAGTGGATTTGGCTCTTCAAAGTTGAAGAACCAAACTCAATTTGGCTCTTCAAATATGGAGAACCAAATTCACCCATTACAATTAAATGCATTTAAAATATTTCAACTTTCAATATAAGAAAATAATATAATAATTTAGAGAAAAGTTAGTTAAAGATGGAGAAAAAAAAATTGTAAGTAATAAAATTAAGTGTTAAATATAAAAAATCCGTTGGAGTACTTCAAAATTTTACTCTAAATATAGATACCATTTAAATTATAGAATAGTTCTCTAAATAAAGATGCTCTGAGGATCTAATTATTTAGCCCTTGTTTGATAGCTATTTTTTTTTTAATTTTAATTTTTAATTTTTTGTGTAAAATGAGTCTTTGAATAGTAAATTTTGAAGAATATATGATTAAAAAATCAGGATTTACTTGAAGAATATTTTGTTGTGAGAGTATGATTAAAAATGAGTATGAGAGAAGAGATTTTTGAAAGAATGATTACCAAGCTGCGGCTTTGATTGCAAATGTCCCACTTTCTCGAGCAATGTGAGATTTGTCCTTAATTGCTAATGTTGTTAGTCATGACCAGTGAGGGGGTTGCCTTGAAACCACATGATTCATAAATTTATATAGCATTAAAAAGATTATGTAGTTTATAAATGGAGTAATGTTACTTAACATTGGTCGAGGTGGAAGCACTTGCGTTACTAAATTAATATTTCAATTAAATATAAAAAATTATAATTTATTTATTAAGACTTATGACATGCTAACACATATACTAATGTTCACCACTATTAATATTAGATAGCTTCATTCTTAAAAATGATGATTATCAACTTGTGTCCTTTAAACTCTTGTTGGCGTTTGTTTATACTATAATAACTTCGACTCGTGGTGGAATCCAAATAGAGTCAGAGGTTGAAAACATTAGGGATGTTATTGTTATATTCCATTGTTCTATACAAAGGCGAATCTAAGAGTTTGAGTCAGCACGAGCGGCCGTTGACCATCTATCATGGGCCGCAATAAAATAAGATATCCATTTTTTGCCAAAAAAAAAAAAAACCCATTTTGCAATAATGATTTGATGGAGAATGTGTGGCTAAAAATAAATAAAAGTTTTGTATTTCTATGTAATATTATCTTATTGAAAATGCGTGGATGAAAAGAAAAGGAAAAAATGTATTTTGAATAAAATTGGAATCGAACAAGGTCTAAAAGTTAAATATAACAATTATTTTGTTTAAACTAAACATATATAATTCTATTAAAAAAATTGGATTCATCAAATGACATTATTGTCAAGTTTTATATAATTCAAAGGAAGAGTGTGAATTCGAATCTTTATAATTGCATTAAAACCTAACAAATATTATTTTGATAAATTTAATAGCTCAGTCCAAGACGTTCCACAATGGTTGAGTTTATAACAATTCTTGCAAAACATCACAAGTTCGAAACCCTTTGTCCTACGTCCTTATTGAATTTTCATAAAAATTGTAGAAAAAGAATATACACAAAAATTTTCATAGTAAGGATTCGAAATCAAGACTTCAAACGTGTACATGTGAGCTCCAAACAACTGAGATACAAGATATGTCTGAAAGTAAGTGAATTATCAGTAATATAAAGTATAACTTTAATCTACAGCCAACAGAAAAAAATTCTCCCATCGGATCCAGCACGCACAGTCGCGGGTGCTTGCCGGGTGCTGGATCCGCGCCTGGTTCTATATCTCCAATTATTTATATGAGACTTCACACTTGACATATATTTGTGCTAGAGGTTTCTCTTATAATTAACGTCTTGTATTTAAACAAATATGCTCATTGGAATTCTAGCAACGCTACCCCTGTGATGCCCGCGGACCAATTTATGATGTCTCCGTCACTGATGTTCGTCAAGCAGGCCACGTCCCCCATTAAAAAGAGAGAGAGAGAGAGGGAAAAGGGAAAAAAAGGGTCGACTCTTGATAAAGGGTGTATAAATGTTTACTTACACAGAAGAAAACATTCTTGAAAGGCTTTTAATGATTAATTAAGGCGGTGGAGTTGTATTCTAAAGTGTAATCTATAGACAAATAACATAACATCGAAATTCTATTGTATTTTGAGACGAGTTCGTTAAAATACCCGCTTGCACAATATTGGATGTGACAAATACGAACTATCTTAAAAATAGCTTGATAGTTCAAATGTCTTCTTCTTAATAGTCTTGTCTGGCTCTTTTCGATTTAACTAACAAAATATAATTTGCATCCTACTCGTGGCAAAATCAAGGGTCCACTGGGTACAATAACTTTATTACTATGTGAAGTCAATTAGGTATATTGAACTCTTATTTTATTAGCTTTTGATTTTTTCAAATCAATGTGGCCTTGTTGTTGACCTAAATCGATTACGATAAATAGGATCGGACAATCTAAATTCTAGTGCGATTGAGATGGAAGCCTAAAAACCCTCGCCTGTACTTCGATGGTATGTCCGTCCACTAAGAAAATGTTGAATTGTCTATGAAATTATGTTATTCTCAGTATGTTTTTACATTTAACAGTAAATAATCTCATTTATCATTTCCACTTGTAGGGCACATGGTTCTCTCCTCTAATAGCCCCCTGATTAACTAGCCTAACCAACTATTTGGATACTAGATGTTCCTTTTTATCTTATTTCTTTCCACAAAATATTATAAAGCATCAAACAGCCATGTAGATAATGAGAACTTGTAATTTACTCCATCCCATTACCTTGGATTGTGCCCTATAAATTCTTGTGAGTATTGTTGATTAACTACTTTTTTTCAAGTTCAGATGGATAATGCATTTTCTTAGTGTCCAAGTTAAAGAGAAGAAAAAATAAATACAAGTGTACCGTGTTTATAGTTCTTTAGCTCACTTCTTTGTCAATTTACCAATGGTCTTAATAGGCATGCATTAATTCCAATGAGCATGAATCTCTCACTTGCATTAGCAACCACCCCACCCCACACCACCCACCCCCCTACTATACACCAAAACCAAAAATTCTTGGCTTAGCCATTGTCAATATCAGTCATTGATTTAGATAGAATTATCGGCAATACCATGACAATGTTGTTAGTAATATCGTCGATAATCACTGACAGCTCTTTCAATTATAAAAAAAATATTTATTATGAACAACATTATTGTCTCGATAATCACCGAAGTTTCTTCAGTCATTGATTGCTCGATGAAGAAATATTTATTCTTTATATATTATTTTTGTTATTTTTTTTAGTTGTTCATGATTTTCTTTTAACTTTTATTTATAATAGTACATTGCTTATTTCATTGCAAATGGATTTTTTCTTCACTTAAGTAAAGTTCATACTTAAATTGTTATGTTTATTGAAGCAATCTCAGTTGGCAAATTAAGTTCATGTTCGGCCCTCATTTTTATTAAAAAATAAATATAATTAAAATTTAAACTCATTTTCAATCACATATTAATAGGACCTATACTTTTTATCAACTTTGCACTCACATGTTTCATCAACTTTTAATAAAAAATTACTAAAAATATGATTTTTAGCTAAATCAAACAGGAATTTCTTAAAATATATATTTTTAAAATTTACCACTAGAGAATTCATTTATTAATAAATTATTTTCAAGTTTAATTAATTAATTAATTATATATATATATATATATATACACACACACACACCTGAATTTTGAATTTTTAAACTATACACCTCACTTTTGAATTGTTGTAAACTATACACCTGAGTTATGATTTTGTATATATATATATATATATATATATATATATATATATATATATATTAAAGATCAAATTATTCATTAGTAAAAATAAAAAATAAAAAATCCCAATATTTTTTGCCTTTTCAAAATACGGGACCTGAAGCGATGACGTACTCGTAGCCTCGGCTCTGCACCCACCATATAATAAAAAAATATTAAACATGTGTGAAATGCTAATTTGATTAAAACTTTTTTGTTATTACTTATAGAAATACAGAATCAACAATATTCACACCTGAAACTTCCAATAGAAACTCCTTACATTATCGACATATGTTTGTGCAAGGGTTACAAACAACCTTAAAATCTATATCAGGATACAGCGATGAAAATTGGATATTTATTTACTTAAATCTCCTCGACTCACCTTCTTGCCACAGCTGTGGCCTTATTCTTTCGGTTTTAATCTCACTGAACTGAAACTGAAATTCACTTTACAGTGTATATTTTGATGAAAGAGTGTCGGGACACAGCGATGAAAATTGAATATTTACTTAAATCTCCTCGACTACCTTCTTGTTACGGAATTGGCTTTATTTCTTCGGTTTCAATCCCACTAAACTGAAACTGAAATATTGAATCCAATTTGCTCTCAGCATCCCATGAATATGCAGCTTCATTTTCAATCAGATTGTTCATTTGATCAAAACCAGCATGGCTGTTCATATATGAACTGTTACTTGAACTTTCTATTGCTTTATTCATCAGAAATGAATTTATTCTTGAAGGTGAAGTACTACTGTTGGAAAAACCTGTATCCATAATATTTCCATGATCAAAATTCATTAAGCTAGAAAATGAATCACAACCTGAACCCTGATTCTGATTTGTATTTCCCTCCATCTGATTCTGATCACGTGTGATCAGAAAACTTGGATGGTATCCATTAGGATCTACTTTTGCTTGAAACTCTGATAAGAATAGGGGATCATATTCATACACTTGTGTGTTCACAAAATTCTCCCTTGAAATATCAGTTTGTTCTTCAAATATTTGTCTCATTGCATCTGATATTGATGAATATGTAATCCCATCAGGCTCTAGTATCTGTAGTGAACATTTTTCTGTACAATTCTCTTCAGTTTCGTCCATTGGCTTATGAGTGTTGGGATCAAGTCCTTGCTTTATCAGCTTCTTTTTCAGATAAGAATTCCATAAGTTTTTGATATCATTGTCTGTTCTTCCGGGTAATTGTGCTGCAATTTGAGCCCACCTACCATTTGTAGGCAAACCTTATCAAAATGACCGAAACAAAAACGAAAACTTTATGGGATGTTTGGTCAATCGATCGTAATAGAATTAAACTTTTCGCCTATTATACTGTCCAGTATCGTCTACGATACCAAACATCCACTTATACTTTAAGAGAGTCATGTAAACAAGGAAAACCATTATGGCAACGTGGGCTACTAAAATGATTAGGGCAACAAATACATGTATGGAATACCGAATATACCCCTAATTAGTTCATGGTCGAGAGATTAGTCTCCACACCTTTAGCAAAAACAGAAAACCCTAAGTAGTCTCCACACCTTTAACATTTAGTCTCCTCACCAGTTTAGCAAAAAAGTATCGAGATAACTATTTTTTTTTTAGAACATTTTAGGTCATGTTTCTTGAATAGAAATATAACCTGTTACCAAGAAATTCATGTAGTGTAACGATGAGATCCTCCTCTTCCTGTGAAAACATTCCTCTTTTAAGATCAGGCCTCAAGTAGTTTATCCATCTTAACCTGCAACTTTTTCCACACCTTTGCAATCCTGATGAACCAGATAATATCACACACACATATATAAATCAAACCACAGAAAAGGTGGAGGATTTAACATAACTTAAAAACTACCTGAAAATTACCTGCTAATTTAGGCACAGAACTCCAGCAGCCGATGCCGAATCTTGTTATGTAATTGTACAATTTCTCATCTTCTTCTGGTGACCATAAACCTTTTTTAAGCTTATTATGTTTCACACAACAAGAATGGCGCCCCATTGAGTTGTTCACAAAGAACCTGGATTATTTCTTATGCAGATAGTGAGATATACAGGTTTTGGTTAGGGTGGGGTAGCATTTGAAAACTACTTAAAGCAAGCTTGAATAAGTGGTTAATGAGTTAAATGCTCACAACCCTTTTGAGTCACAAATTATTTAAAGGGGTTGTGTAGAGAAAATCATACTTAGAATTCAAGTCATTTGAGAGAGTGAGTCAGTAAAGTGGTTTCTAAGAAAACCTGGTGCTTCTTTTTGCATTGGCTAGATTGTGTTTTAAGATACCTGTAACCATTCAAGTAATATAATTAAATTCTTTCCTTATGAATCTAAAATTACCAGTGCACCGAAATTTTTCCGCTGTTCGAAACAGTAAAATTTATCGACGGTTGAAATTATGATATTAAGCAATATAGACAACGAGTTGACACGGTAAAAACGTGCAGTTAAATAAATTACGAGAAGATTTTTTTATTTTTATTTTTATTTTTTATTTTGGCGGGGCGGGGGGGCGGGGTGAGAAAGGGAACTGATGTGATTAAACATGTTTATTAAGTAGGGACCTTTCATTAGTGATTCTTGTCAATTCTGTAACCTCAAATCCCACCTACGTGGCCTAGTAGTGGACCTTTACGTACATATAATTGTCTGTCGTTTTCGTCTAATAAATAATTAACTTGTTACTATTTTTGAAATCTCATATGTTCTCTCATTTTAGTATCACAATAGGATATAAAACAAAGTTCAAAAGATAGCAGCCAAAATGTATGATATATTTGATATGCTCAAGTAGACGTAGAACTCATTCTAATGATGGAGGATAGACCGCTACTAATAATTGTATATTCACTTGCGGAAATTCCGTCAATAATTTCTCGGTCTGTCGAGTAGATATTAGGGCCTATTTGATTTGTTCAATTTCCATGTAAAATGGCCATTTTTCAGGTTTTTTCTTATTTGATTGAACATATTTTCTAGGCAATTGCTTTTGCCCCACCCACGCTCCTCAAACGTGACTTGTTCTCCCTTGAAACCATGGACTTCCAATTCCCATGATTTTGGTGGGAATTAGCTTTTTCAGGTTCCTTCCCTTTTTTTTTTTTTTTTTTTTTTTTACCCAGGTGTCCCAGTTTAGCCAGACTATATCCTGGACTTCGAGCCTCCGGCCCCACATTGACTTGAGGAGGTAAACTGCAGGATGTACCCTCATTGGATGGTTCTTTTTCTTTTTTCTTTTTATTCACAATGGTTTTCTCTTTTATTCACAACTGTACATGGACTTTTTTTTTTATTCACAATTGTAACAAATTATATCCTTTTAATTAATAATTTTCATGAAAAATAAAGTTAAACGAATACCAAAAGATGTAAAATGTCAATACTTTTCAGGTGGAAAATTATATCAATCAAACACATTTAATTAATAATTCTCAGTAAAAACAAGTTATAGACAATTCAATTCCCTAAAATTAGTTTTCTTTCTATCCAAATTCTATTTTTACAATCAAACGGACCCTTAGATAAAAATCGATCAGATATATTTTCTATAGGGAAAAAACTAGGTCATTGTTTGAGTTCCATTCTTGTCAAAAAATTCATTTTTGAATAGTGCATGAATGGGAATTGTGCGGTTAAAAAACAAAGAAAAGTCATGAAGTTTTTATATGTTTTGATAAACAGATGAAGCTCGAGGCAAGCAAAAGTCAGTCATAATTATTTCTTTTGTCAGGAAGGTGGTAGGCAAAAGTCCGAGCGTCCGATGATGCATATTCTTCGATAATTCTGACAATGCAGCCCATCAAATCGATCAAAATTTTCTAACTATTGACTTTTCGTTCGAATTTATGGAAGACAAAACACATCAAAATACATGTTTTTATTCTTGTTATTCAAATTAATTACTAATTAGTAGACAAAACAAATTATCTTTTACATTTATTCAATCAAAAAGTTTTGTTTTCCGACAAAACAATACGTCGATATTCTGTCACGAAAAGCAGTGGATTTCAAGCCATTGAAATTCCGTTGCTTTCGGTACATGTTCTAGGAGTGAATGTTTTTTCTGTTCTCGTGTACAATTCAATATTTATATTAGTCGTTAACACGTTTTTCTTCTTTATCGTTTTATGTATGTTCAATCTAACACATATCACAAGTTAATTAGTAACATATTGAACACAAACATCTAACTTATGGCCTATTCGTTAGTGGTTATGAGAATTGATTTTTTTATCGTTATAGAGAAAAATAGGCCCCACTTGTCAGTGAAAAAATAAAAAATGACGGTTGTAATATTGAAATAACAATAAAAAAAATTGAAGTTTTGAAGTGAAAAATTGCTATTAAACGGGAGCTTATAATATAAGCATTAATTTTAAACTTCTAATTCGTTTTCAAAAATTTTTTGGAGCTCACAAAAAATGTGAAATACCTCTACATTCTGTTGAGTACGATACAACAATAAATTAATTCGTTCGACTCACTCTTCTTTTGTTTCGAGTTATAAATTCCATCGATGAACAAAATTGTTTTAAGAAACTTTTGAAAAATATTTAAAAAAAAAAAAACGAAATAAGATGTGGATTTCGGAGGTTTTAAGGTGATGGTGATGTCCTTTTGAAGTGCATTTGTAATAGATATTTTTGGCTGATGGGGAAATGAGAAAGTGAAAGATGCATAAAATTCAGCTAAAAATGTTCCAACCACATTGATGTATACATGCAATTTAAGTCATTGTGTGACATACATCATTATCATTGTCGAACATTATTCATTGCCCTTTTGACCTTGGAATTTCATCTTCATATGCTATATCTATTTATCAAACATAAATTGATTAATTGATTTCAATTTGAGTTGAAAAGTGAGTAGTTTCAAACGATTGAGTCATGTCAAGTCGGGCATAGTGGTTAGCACTTCAAGTGGATTACTATTGACTAATTTATCATATGCTTGAATTCGAAAAAAGATATAATTCATTGTACCTAGAAAACTTGGCGCAATTATTGCTTTACCTTGTTCGTCGTATCCTTCTAATCAAACAAAACATAAATGACAGTTCGTACTAATTGCACTTCATTTTCTTTAATAAGCAAGTACTTTTTTATATACGTACTACGAACTACTTTTGGCAGGACTTCTACTTGTAAAAAAAAGTTTCTCAAGCAAGTAATCTTAAATAATTTTTTTCTAAAAACTCTTCTAACAAGACAATTTGCTTCTAAAAAAAATTACCCAAAAATGCTCAAAAATAAATTTTTTCTTAAATTTCAAAAGTAATTTAAAATTTTTCAAAACCCTGTAAAACGGGCCCGATCGGAAGTTTTTTTTTTCCCTTCCTTCTTAAAATCTTATTAGAAAACACATTAGGCCACTTTATGCTCTAATTTTATAAGAAATCATATTGAGAATAGGCAGTGCGGAGTGAGGCCGCAACTCGAATACCATAACGAAGTAAAAATTGTCAGTTTCACCTTGGTGCTCGGTAAAAAGTAAATTGCACAAGGTCTGTGTTGGCTCGAGATCGACAACTACTAAAATGAGTATTAGAAGACAATTTTATTGTTTACTATTCAAACAATGTACATGAAATCTAACTAATCAATTTTGTACATAAAATGAAAAGGATCCTTGATCTTAGCCCTATAATCTTGGTCACACTACCAGTCTACAAGAGCAAATTATGGACACGTTAATCTCAGCTCTAAAATCATGGATAATCAACCAATCTACGGCCACAAATCATGGACACGGATGCTGTAAATTTGCTGCTATTCGTTGTATATTGATTCACTATTAATAGGCTTCCTAGTATAGCCTTTTGGTTTATGTATATATATAGCTTGCTGCCCTCATTGCAATCTGTGTACAAAAGCCAAGCAATTGTAATACATAAAGTATTTTCTTACAGCAGAACATCTGTCCTTCTTTATCATTTGTTCTTCTTTATGGCATCAGAGCATTTTGACTCTAATGAGTACGATCCGTCCGCTTCCGCCATGACTTCTCCGGTTGTCTCTCACCCCACTGGTGGTCAGACTTCTGAACAACATTTAATCTCCATAAACACTAGCCAATTACAGCGCCTCACCACCTCCAACTACTTAACCTGGCGTGCTACTTTCTCTTCCCTCTTTGGGTACGGTATTATGGGGTATCTTGATGGATCCCTCCCATGTCCAGCTGTACCCACCAAAACCGTTTCGGCAAACGATGTTGCTGCCTATACTCGTTGGTTTAGATAGGATCAGCTCCTCTTGAATGCCATCTTGGCTTCTGTTTCGGAACAAATTGCTCATCTTATTGCTTCGGCAAAAACCTCCCATGACGTTTGGGACAAGCTTTCTCGCTTGTATGCCAACAAGTCACGAACACGCGTCATGCAACTTAAAGAGGCACTCACTCTCATGCAACGTGGTGACAAAACCATTACTGACTATCTCCACAGTATCAAATGCATTGTGGATGAATTGGCTCTCATTGATACTCCTCTATCTGATGATGATATTACACTCTATGTCTTGTATGGACTAGGTCCTGATTATCGTGACATTGTTGCTCCTATTCGCACTCGCACCACTTCCTTGGCATTCGAGGAATTGCACGACATGCTAGTTGCTCATAAGACATATCTCAAGCGCCTTGAATCTGCCACCAATACGCTGATTGTTACAGCGAACCCAGCAATACGTGGCAATTTCACCTATCGTGGCCATCGCAAAAACTTCACTCGAGGCGACCTAATCGAGTCAGACCCGACTCCACTCATCCCGTGATGGTTTTCAAAAGCCCAAGTGCCAATATTGTGATACTCTTGGCCACACTGCTAAATCTTGTCCAAAGCTATCTCCCTCGACCTCTGGTGCAGCCAACTTCGTTGGTAAATCACTTGCTAAAGACAAGAAATGGTTGGTTGACTCTGGTGCTTCTCACAACATCACATCTGATTTGTCTAACCTCTCCATCCACTCTGAATATGATGGCACTGATGAAGTAGTAATTGGTGATGGTAAAGGTTTATCAGTTACTCATGTTAGCTCTCTTGGCCTCTCTTACCCCTCGCGTTCATTTCATATTACCAATACTTTATGTGTTCATCAAATACATAAGAACCTCATATCTGTGCATCATT